GAGACCCGTTCTGCCTGAATGGATATCAAGCATAGTGGCACCCTGGTACTTACCAAAAGCTGCAGCTGCATGCAAGCTGCATACTTTTTTTCTGTTTTTGTTTTAAACCACCACTACCTTTCCCGCTGTTGGGAAAATGGGAAAACAGCCTACTCCTAAAATATTGGATGTCGGGCCCGACGATGGGCACCGTTGATAAATCTCATCGGCAACCGTCCCGACGGCGACCCAGATGGGAAAAGGAAGTGGTGGTTAAAAAAAAAAGAAAAAAGGGCGACAGACGTGAGATATCGTCATCAAGCTGATCGGGACCACATACACAGAAGAAAGGTCCATCCTTGAGCACACCCATGGGGAGATCCCACATATGAGGAGATGGGGGAAGAGGCGAGACGAGTATGGAGATGAGGGAGAAGACCAAGATTGTGATAGCGAAGTCCAAAACTAGTCTCCCTCCCAAATGTCCAATCAATGTCTGCCACAAAAATGTCGAATCAGACCCTGGGCCTCAGTAACCTCTCTCTCTCTCTCTCTCTCTCTGAAAGAAGAAGAAGAAGAAGAAGAAGAAGAAGAAGAAGAAAGAGGAGGGGGAAAGAGGAAGGAGGACGAGAGCAGGAAGAAGAAGATGATGTCGTCCTCCTTGTTGTCCTCAGGAACTGACGTCCTGGCCGTTCGTTGTGTCGCAGGTCGCCAGCGGGGAGCTCGGCTATGGCGCGCAGGTACGTAGTCCGCCACTGCAGGTATGGCCTCCGCCTCTCTCCCTACCTACACCTCTACCTCTAACACACGACAGAGGTTGGGGCGGAGCGCGGCACTACCGGGAGCGCGGCGCTCCGCCTCGGGTTGCGACATCGCACAGGTGGGCCATGGTGACGGCGCGCGGCGGCGATGGTGGCCATCTCTTCTGTAAACCAGAGGCTTTGCGTACGCGCAGGTGACTGAAGGCGCTTGTCCACGCCACGTCACAAGCTGATGTGGCGGCTGGACTGACTCCCGTTTTTCTGGGAGTTCCATGTTTCACTCCATTCCCGCTGCGTTTTTGCACGTGGCATATTGCCTGAGAGGCGTTGGCTATGTCGACGCCTGTGGAGTACAGTGGAGTCAGCCCTTGGTAAACTGAAGTGCGAGTGCAGTGGCAACTGCAATCATGAGGAAGTAGATGTGTCATCATAATCAGGGCACTGCTCGTCATCAGCAACGGGGCGTTGATCACCACCAGCACCATCATCAACAGGGCGCAGTTCGACACCATCATCACAGTACTGGTTCGTCATCATCATCAGGGTGCTGCTCGTCATCATCATCATCATCATCATCATCATCATCATCATCAACAGGGCATGGTTCGACATCATCATCGACATCATCATCACGGTAATGGTTTGTCATCATCATCAGGGTGCTGCTCGTCATCACCACCATCATCATCAGGGTACTGTTCGTCATCATCATCAAGGCGTAGGTCTTCACTTTTGATCGGCTCTAGTATCATCATCATTAAGGAGCCGTTCATCAGGGGTGCTGCTCGTCACTCATCGTTGTATTACCATCATCAATATTTCACCATCATAGGGCGCGATTGGCGAAACTCGTCATCATAGGGCGCTGTTCATCCCTATCATCATCATCATTATCATCATCATCATTAGGTTATCATCAAAGGTGCTCATCATCAGCACCATCATCATCCTGTTGTCATCAACGGGCGTTGTGCATCATAATCATCAATCATCATCATCAGTGGTGCTCGTCATCAGCATCAGCATCATCCTGTTGTCATCACAGGGCGCTGTGCGTCATCATCATCATCATCATCATCATCATCATCAATCATCATCATCAGTGGTGCTCGTCATCAGCATCAGCATCATCCTGTTGTCATCATAGGGCGTTGTGCGTCATCATCATCATCATCATCATCATCATCATCAGTTTGTAATCATAGGGGCTGTTGGTGCTGCTCTTTAGAATGATCAGCATCATCGTACTGTCTTCATTCTCATCATTACCATCATCATCATCAGTTTGTCATCATTAGAGGCTGCTCTTCAAGGCATTGTTTGCCTTTCACATCAGCAGGTGAGTTGGGCGTCACCATCATCCTCATCATCATCATCATCATCGTCAGGGTGCTGTTCATCGTCATCAGCAAAATCCAAAAAAAAAAATCTCATCAACCTTTTCTCCATCATAATTTTCGAAATCTCTGATTCCTCCAATCATATCTCATATCTTAGAAATCCTACTCCGTAAATTCCTTGTTTTTTCTTTTCTCCACTATTGATTTCTGATTCCCCTTTGGGTGCACTAATGAATTATTTTTGCGCGGGTGGGGGGTTGGGGTTTTAAGGAGGAGAGCTCCACTCTGCAAGGGCTTCACAAGGTGGGGGGTGAAATGCCCTGGAGGGAGTGGGGGCAGATTTTGGGGGATGCGCTATTCTGGGGTTGGGAGAGATGTATGGGTTGGCATCATATCCCAGCGGAGACAGATAGGGGTGAGGGGTTGGCTGAGACATACTTTGGGTGGAACTGGATGCCTTAGTGGAAGATGGGGGAGGAAGTAGGTATGTCCCAAGTTGGCGCCGATAAGGAGAGCTTGTGATCAGGGCAGTCCTTTTCGGTGGAGGCAGCGGAGGGACAGCAGGAGAAGGAGGGGAGGGGGGGAAATAATCCACAGAAACGTCCGGAATTCTGATTCTCCTCTTAAGCATAAACAAATTATTTCTAGTAGGGTGGTGGGTTGGTTTTGAGGGGGAGAGCTCTACTCTGTCGAGGGCTTCACAAGGAGGGAGGTGATTGCCCTGAAGGGAGATGGGGCAGATTTGGGGGGATGCTCTATTCTGGGGCTGGGGGAGATGTATGGGTCGGCATCATATCCCAGCAGTGGCAGACAAGAGCAAGGGGTTGGCAGAGGCATTCTTTCGGTGGGAACTGGATGCCTTTGTGAGAGTAGGGGGGGAAACGGGTCTGTCCCAAGTTGGGGCCGATGAGGAGTGTCCATGATCAGGGGCAGTCCTTTTTGGTGGAGGCAGCGGAGGGGCAGGGGGACGAGGGGGACAGGGGGGAATTTCTATATCCTTTGTTTGTATTTGGTTGGGATTTTTCCTGATTTTTTCTGGAGTTCTCAAAACAAGCAGCACCCTTGTTATTCCTGGTAGTTTGAAGAATCTCTCGGGACTCTGAGGGTTTGCTGGTGGTTCGTACGAAGCTGCACTGGAATTAGACTGTTATATTCAGGATCCGTAGCTGTTCAATGCCAGAACGACGCTGGCCGGAGCCAGGGTGATGCCCTGTAACTTGCCAAAGGTGAGGGCATGAGGCCTTGTAGAGAGATCTGGGGATGCTATGCGGGGGCATCCTAAGGGACAGTTGGGGGTTGCTGACATAGGACGACACTGGCCGGCTCTGTAACCTAGCAGATAGGGGGCGTGAGGCCTGGATGAGTTTGTCAGAGAACAAGTCAGTTTTAGTGAGCTTTGGTATGATCTGTTGGAAATCCCTTAGATACTYGAGTGTTCGGAAAATTGCGGTGGATTTCAGGAGGTGTTTAGTGATCTTAAAAAATGATTCATAGTCTTCTCATCATCTAAAATAAAAAAAATAAAAATAAAAAAAAGAAAGAAAAAGAAAAAAAAAAAGAAATGGGAAAGTAAAATAAAAAAGAAAAAGGGAGAGAAGGCTAGGCTTCCAACGCCGCCCGGGCGGGCCGGCACGGCCGTGCACCCGTGCAGCCTGCACGGGTCACCGTGCAAGGTTTTTTTGTTTTTTCTTTTCTTTTTTTTGGTGATGGGCCTCTGCTGCACCTGCAGAGATCTGCCCGAATCTGCCCTGTTTGCACTCGTTTGCCACACCAGTATTTCGAGTGTGGCAGGGGGGGGGTAGGGTTGGGTGGGGAGTGGGAGGTGGTGGGAGTGACTTGAGGCTGGAGATGGTGAAAGGGAGGTGGGGGGTGGCAGGAGCGAGGTTGGAGCTGGAGGGAGGGAGGTTGGAGATGGCGGAAGGGAGGTGGGAGATGGCGGAAGGGAGGTGGGGAATGGCGGGAGGGAGGTGGGGAATGGCGGGAGGGAGGTTGCCCCGGCGTCCCTGAAAGTGCCCCCCCCCAAGGCCCACGCGCTGAGGCCGCACAGGGCCTGACCGGGGCACCTGCACGGCCATGCACCCGTGCGGGCATCCGTGCGTGTCGGGGGGGGGTGTGCACCCGAAAATAAAGCCTAGAGAGAAGGTAAATACAGGGGGTGAAGAAAAGGGGTACGAGGAAAGAGGAAGGGGGGGGATCGCAAAAAGAAACGAAAAGACAAAAAAAAAAAAAAAGGGAAAAAGAAAACACAAAAAAAAAGTTCAAAAAAGCAAAAACTGAAGCAGGCAAAGAGTAACGAGTATGCCCAGGAAGGTACATGAGGCCAATGGGGATTGAACCCACGACCTCCTGAATGCCACTTGCGAACCTTACCAACTGAGCTAGGCCGCTGGATCGGACCCCCACTTTTCAGCTAGGCCGCTGGATCGGACCCCCACTTTTCTGCTATGTCGATCGGGGGATCCAGTGGTCTATCTAGCAGAGTCTGCTGATGTTCGTAGGGGAGGGGACCTGAGGGGAGGCACAGGAGATTGGTCCCCAGGGCTTTATCCCCTGATGCTACCGGCTATCCCCTGGCCGGTATCGCCCACCTGCAGGTCGGGAGCAGCCCCCGCATGTTCTCTCGTGAACACGGTTCTGGCTGCTACGGGGTTCCCTGTATGCCTACAAGTAGGAGTAGTGGTAGGTAGGTAGTGTGAGGTGAATTTGAGAGAAGAATATAGTTAAAAAAAAAGAAAAGAAAAAAAAGTGGGGGTCCCAATTAACCACTTGTGTGGTAGGGAGACATGTGAAAGGTGAAACTGAGAGAAGAATGTAGCTTTGTTTTTTCTATTATAGAAAAAAAAAAAAAGAAAAAAAAAAAAGAAGGAAAAGGGCCAATAGTAAATTTTAGTGTCACTGTGTGTTTCACTGGCGCTCATACCTCTGTGCATGAAGGTATAGCATGGCCTTCGTCAAATCAATAGCGAGCGAGATAATTCTCTTCCTGTCGAGGACGATGTTCGATTTGTGAAGGATGTAATGGAGTGTATGTGGAACATACTCTAACACAAGACAGAGGTCAGGTGGGCGGGTGCACGCCCCCAGCAGCAGAACAATATGAGGGTGTCGAAGCTCGCTAAGGGTCATCATCTCGGCCCGGAAGTCCTGCCTCTCGACCACGCAACAGCACCACACATGCAGGAGTCACAGGCTGAGAGGTGTCATTTCCTTTTCCCCGATTTAACTCCTTTACTCTAATTGCAAATAAAAATTAAAAAAAAAGGATCACAAAAGTGACCACATGCATAGCTCTGGTTCTTTTGTTTGCGCATTAGACAGTAAATCCTCATCATCATGGAACCGACCGGCCCAGCGTAATTGGCGGTTATTTTGCTCCTCTGATTCCAGCAAGGGGTATCTGCCAAGGAAGGTGATTATGTACCAATTTCTCAAGAGGCTTTCGAATTCTGCGCTCCATCGTCTTGTGTACACTGTTTTTTTAATGCAATACCTTGAGCCAGACTATTCGCGTCTTTTTACAATTGTCCTCGCCAATCTGTGACAATTTTGACTTGAATACTTAGTTTGCTATCTGTTTAATTTGTTTGCATTCATAATTCCTTTTCTTCCTTTGTTCTTTTTGTCTTTTTGTAACTGATCTGATCTATAATTGGGGGGGCTTAAGCAGTGGGGAAACTAGGTCTAGCATCGCAGTGAAACATAGGTGAACCTGATCGAGGATTATTTACAAGGTGGGGCAGCATTCATCATTCCAAGAGTACTACTACTTATAGTGGACCACCCAAGCAGATGTTTAAGGGAATAAAAAAGAAAAAGAAAAACAGCAGCCGAGATTCGTGACTCTGTTCTGAGGAATGATTTCTAAATTTCTTAAACTGCCCCTCTTTTATGTTGAAACTTGAAAGTCGAAACCGGGGGGGGGGAGGGGTATATTTTATTTTATCTTTTTTTTTGCACAATATGGGCCCGGTGCTCAAGTTTTTTTTTCCCCCGCTTTTAATAAGAAAACCATCCCAATGTCCATCCCCCACCCAGGGTGTACCTTAGGTGGTCCATGCCACACCATTAGGAAGGCTCCAATCTATTTACGCGAAACATCAAAAAAAGAGCATTCAACATCACACGACATTTTCTTCTGAAGTAGCAACTGCAGCATTATTGATACCCTGGGGAGGCCAGGGGACTAACTGCAAATTCTCTCTGCAGGATGAGAAATGAAAGCCTGCCTCTTAAACCACAAGTACACGGCCCCAGACTTGCAGTCCGAAACTTGTTGCCACAAGACAACGAGGCCGCGACGTCAAACGCTGGGCCCGCCGTTGATAAATTCTATCGGCGGCCGCGTTTTTGTTTCGCGTCTCCAGAATTTGAGGTGTGATACCCACAGCCCAGGTGCCCATGTACTGGTGCTTTAAACCACTAGTACACGGTCCCAGCCTTGCAGTACGGAACTTGTCGCCACAAGAAAACGAGGCTGGAATGTCAAATGTTGCGCCTGCCGTTGATAAATTGGATCAGCGGTCAGGTTTTCGTTTCGGCCTTCCAGAATTCGAGGTGTCAGGCCCACCGCCCAGGTGCCCATGTACTGGTGCTTTAAGCCCCTTATAGGGTTTAGGGTTTAGGGTTCAGGGTTCAGGGTTCAGGGTTCAGGGTTTTGGAAGTCTACAATTCCATCAGATCTTTCTTTTGCACTGCCTCAGAACCTGCGTACCCTCTGCCAAACCAGTTGAGATCCACTAAACAGTTATCTGCAGGAGGGAACCAGTCTGGGAATTCTGATGCTGGCCTTGGTGAAAATGAGGCATCTTTGTCTGTCCTCTCCTCAAAGACAAAGCGTGACTCATCGCAGCCCCTGAGGCTCGGATACACCCCCTTCCATTTTCGCAATTAACCCCGAGTTGGGGTTGCTCAGCCAATCTGCTTCACAGTCTTTTATTTTGGCTTCCCTTTCCTTAGGTTCATTGAAACCACCACTAACTTTCCCAGGCAACGTCCCCTCCAGCCAGTTGTGCTGCCTCTGCCGAAAAAGAAAAGGTGCGATGAACAAAAACTGCCGGCACTGCGGTGTGCCGACAGTACCACCCCCCTACGGTTTTGCTTGGGCCCGGCGGGGGGTGTCAGACGAGGCCCGCTGCTCTCTTTTATTTTTCCCTTTCCCCCCCAAAAACTACGCTTTAGGAGTTATAATAAATAACTAGCTTAGCGCCCACCGTGCGGGCGGTGCGGCCTACGCCCGCAACCAAAAAGCGGGAAACGACATGCCCACGGGGAAACGACACGCCCGGGAAACAAAAAGAAAAGAAAAAACGAAACGACAAAACGACACACCCACCGACACACCCACCGGGAAACAAAAAGAAAAGAAAAAACAAAAAGCGAGGAACAACACGCCGACCACGAAGCAAAAAGAAAAGCAAAAACGAAAAGCGGGAAACGACAGGCCAAAAACGAAAATGCTAAAAGAAAAAAAGGCCGCCCGCTTATCCACGGCAGCGGCTTCAAGATATTCCCTCACATCTACGCCCGCCGCCGCCCGGCCCCATGGACGCGCTCGCTCATTTAATGGCGCGCTGTTAACATTTCGGTACGTGCGCCCCTCTGCACACTCCCCCGCCCTGGATCGCCTTCATCCGCCGGCCCTCCTCAAAACTTCGACCCCAAATCCTGTGCGCAACGGACCATCGACCTCCCCCCCCGGCCAATGCTGCGGTAGGATAAAATAAAATAAAATAATATATCATAAATCATAAATAATAATAGTATCTAGGCTACCAGCCGGGCCGCCACGGTCGTGCAAGGAACAGAGGTAAAAACAAAACAAAAAAACTACGTTGCGGAGAAAAATAAACTGAACAACTTTTGCCTCAGGGTCACATCGAAATTCTTTACACATCAAGTGGTAAGTGCTGTGTTTGGGATATGTATTAGTCCCAGGCTTGGATCTCTGTTGTCATTCCTTTTCTGTGGGGGTATGGTGAGCGTCGCTCTGCAGGGATGGAGGGCGGTGAAGTCTCCATTAGGGAGTGGACGCAGATAGGGTGAGTAGATTACCCTGAATCGCGAGGAGGTGGGTGGGTTTAGCGGGGTCATTGAGCCCCGCCGCGGGTGGTAGAGTAATTTACTGGATTGCAAAAACAGCATCGTGGTGGGAGTTGTGTTTGTGGTAGTGGTGTGTGTGGGCTGTGGGGCTATCCGGTCTGAATCGTGAGGAGGTGGGTGAGTTTGCGGGGTCTGCACCTGCAGTTGGGGCCTGCGTGGGTGGTCCCCTGCCGCGCCGGTGGCAGGGCGATATAGCAGGTTAGATAACAGTTTGGGATGGCTGGAGAAACTAACAATGGTTAGGGTATATAGTAGGAGAATTGGAAGCTGGTCTGTCTTTTTCCCCTTTGTTTTTCGTTTTTTTCTTTCTTGTAATTTTTTCTTCGACATGGGGTCTTGTGGTGTGCTGGCCCCTGTCCTCCTATGAGGAGAAGGCAGCTTTTTCAACCAAAAAAAAAATCAAAATTTATTTTATTTTATTTTTGTCCGGCCGGACAAGTGGTCCCGGGCCTAAAAAATTAATAATAAAATAACAATAAATAACAAAATAATATATAATATATTTATTATTATTATTATTATTATTATTAGAGTGCAGTCCTACCTGCATGGCTTCCTCGCCCATGGATGGATCAAACCACTTTTTCACTACAACAGGTGTTCCCATCCAAAGCGCTCTGCAAAAATAAAAAGGGAAATGTCCCTATCAGTTCATATGTCCATGAAAGCCAGAAAGGACAGAATCCAGGGAGGAAGGAGGAAGGGGGGAAGGAGAGAGGGAAGAGGGGAGAGGAGAGAAAAAAGAAAAGAAACGGAAGAAGGCAAGGGAGGGAGGGAGAGGGGTAGAAGGGAAGGGAAAGGAAGTCAAAGGAAAGGAGAAAAGGTGGTGGGAAGGGATAAACGTGGGGCGGAGGGAGGATGCAAGGCAAACTGAAGTTAGGCACGAGAGGCTTATGGAGAAGTCAATAGAAAAGAAGAGAAATGGAGCCTCAAAAAGGAAGAATCTGTTTATTGTTGCAGAGAGGGAGGAAGGGAGGAAGGGAGGAAGGGAGGAAGGGAGGAAGGGAGGAGGGAGGAAGGAGGAAGGAGGAACAGAGGAAGGGGGGAGAGGAGGAGGAAGGGAAGGAGGGAGGGAAGGGGGCAGGGGGGGCGGGAGGAGAGAGGAGGGACGGAGGGACGGAGGGAGAAAGGAAGGGAACCAAGGGAAGTGAGCGAATGAAGGGAACGGGGGGAAAGGGAGGAAAAGGAGGGGAGGGACGGGAGGAGGGGAGAGGAGGGGGAGGAGGGGAGAAGAGGGAAGACAGGGAAGACAGGGAGGACGGGGACGAGGGAGGGAGGGGGGAGGTAGAGAGGGCGGAAGGAAGTGAGAGGGAGGAACGGAGGAAGGGAGGAAGGTAAGCAGGAGGGGGGGGAGAGAAGGAGGACATGAAGGAGGAAGAGAGACTCGGAAGGGAGAAAGGGACGGAAGAGAGCGGAGGAAGAGGAGAGAGGAGGGAGACGAGGGAAGGGAAGGAGGGAGGGGAGGTCAGCGGGAGGAAGGGGGAGGAAGGTAGAGGAGAGGGGAAGAGGGGGCAGAGGGAGGATGGGGACGAGGGAAGTGGGAGAGGGAGGGAGGAAAACAGTGCAGAGAGAGGAAGAACGCAGCCAAGGAAGGTGGAAGGGGCAAGGGAAGAAAGAGAGGAAGGAAGCGTGAAGGATGCAAGTTGGGAAGAACTGGGCCACAAGAGAGGGTTGGAAGGGGAGTTTGTGTGTGAGGACATAAATGAAGACATGCAGCCTGACAAAGGGAGGAAGTAATTTGAATATCTGGAGCTCAAAATGTCCCAATCCATACCTATAGACAACAGAAAAGCCCCCACCTCCAACCTGTTCCCTGATGTCCAGTGAGTCATAGGGGATTTCCAGACGAGACAGAATTCCAAAACTGGGACCTTCGGAGTCGTGGGATGTACGATTGACACCGGCATCAAACGACCCACTCCTGCTCGAGTTTGCATTCGCATGTACCGACAGGTTTCTGGCCTCCGCAGTGCGTAACTTTTCCTTCAGCTTACTGTTCTCCTCTCTCAGGATGGCAATCTCCTCCTCCAGCACTCTCCTGCTCGGCTGCTCGCCTGTCGAGCCATGGAGCCCTGGTGGCCGGTCTTTGCCTCGATCAGCACCCTCTTCTGCGCTTGCAGCACTCATTTTTGTTGGGCCACCACTCGATCAATTGCCTTTCTCTCTTTTTTTTCTCTAACTTATTAATACTGTAATTACTTTTACAGGGAGTTAGCCTCTAATAGTATTAGTATTACTGTATGCATCACAATGCGAACTCTCGATCTGCTTGCAAACAGCAACGTGTGCGCACCATGCAGCCACAAGGCTAAGGCTGGGATAATCCACCACCGCTGGATCTGCTTGATCCGTCAGTGTAGATCTAGTAATCGACGACGCTTGACTGCCCTGTTGTCTTCTTCGCGTGTGTAGTGGAATAGGCCTTCTCTCCTTCTCTCTCCTAACAGAGACTCTCCAGATGGACACTCTCTGGACGCAACTGCCTGACCTTGAAAGAGCACCTGAGACGCAGGTGAGAGCATTGGAAATACGTGGCTCGTACATGTTCCTGAATTCCGAACTGGACACAGTTTAGTCCCACACAGATTCCCACCAGGGTTAGCATAGAGAAAGCTGCACTAATGCAGTTGCCATTCATAAAGAGGGTCCTGTTTGAGGTTAGCATGATGAAAGCTGCAGTTAGGTGACTCCTGACCTGGAGATTCTAATCCCATGCCTTGCCTGTTCCTGTCCGTGACTCCTGACCTGGAGATTCTAATCCCATGCATATTCTCACCAGGACTACCGTCTTCCCCCGAACACAACGCACCCTTATTTTGGCTGTATCTGCCCGGAAATATAGCTTGTATACATTCATTCTTAGGGTGCGTTATGTTCGGGGGAAGACGGTAGCATTGCGAAAGCTGCAGTTTGGGGGGGTAGCATTAAGAATGCGGCAGTTTGAGGGGTTAGCATTAAGAAAGCTGCAGTTTGGGGTGGGTGGGTAGCATTAAGAATGCGGCAGTTTGGGGGGTTGTAACACTAGTTAGGTGATAGAGGAGAACGTTGGCAATGCCTTGCCTGTACATGTCCGTGACTCCTGACCTAGACATTCTAATCCCATGCATGTTCTCACCAGGATTAGCATTGAGAAAGCTGCAGTTTGTTGGGGGGGGGGGGGGTAGCATTAAGAATGCTGCAGTTTGGGGGGTTGTAACACTAGTTAGGTGATATGGGAGAGCATTGGTAATATACTCATTAGCGTACTTGTTAGCGTAATGGTACACAAAGCCACTTCCAAGTGTACTTATTAGTTGGGTAGCATTCCGTACGCATACATACGAGGTGTGCACGCGAACGTACTCCAGAGTACGCGTACGTGACCAGAAACACGCGTATGAGTACGTGTTTTATCATTTTACTAGCTTACCTGCGGCGGCTCCGCCCGCAAAACAAAACATGGAAATTTTGCAAAGAAAAGCAAAGAGCATCAGGGTTGTGGTGGCCTGAGGCCATGTTGTTCTTTCCGAGATACTTTCACATCTGTTACCTTGTCAGCACATCTCTCCCTTGGTGCATAAGTAAGGAGTATTCTCTTTCAGATGTCAGAAAATACGCAATTCTTCACATTTTTGGGGTTTCTGTTTACAATTTGGTTTTTCTTTTTCTGGGTTTAACGACAAAAGCAAGCCACTCCAAACAACCACC